TCTCTCTCTCTCTCTCTCTCTGTGTGTGTGTGTGTGTGTGTGTGTGTGTGTGTGTGTGAGAGAGAGAGAGAGAGAGAGAGAGAGAGAGAGAGAGAGTTTCTGTAAGTTCATTCTATAATCTTTGCACAATGACAAGTCACCAAATGGCACACCCCTTACTAAGTGGTAAAATTCACTACATGGAGAGCTCCTACATCTTTCGCTTTGGCTGAATTGAGTGTCTACAAGTCTTCTTCACCCATTAGGTGACACTACATCCTTCTGTATTAGCCAGACTTTGCACTGCTGTGACAGAATCCCTGATACAAACAACTTCACAGATTTCCAGACCATATCAGGCCACGTCTACAATAGAAAACATATACCCTGACTAAGAGGCAGGGTGCTTTTCTAGGGAATTACCATGTACGTGTATTAGATGACTCCTACTCCCTTAGGCTACCAATTCTCTTTCTCTATATACCCTAAGGAATGGCACAAACTTGAGGAATTGATTGATTCCTTGTCTTATTGCTGATTGTATTTAATATAAAATTTTAAATAGGCTTCCGTGTCCTGTCACCCAAATCTCTCAGAAAATAGATCATGGTGTATCACTGTGTTACTATTGCCCTTATAGATTTGATTTTATATGACATCATTAATTCCCTGAGGACCTGTTACCATTCCATCTCTGCTGTTGTTTCTGGCACTCATTGCACCAAAATAGCTTCATTTCTCCCAAGGCACTAACTCTGCAAGTCGCCATAGACTTAGAAGTCACCTCTCCAAAGGTACCCTGTGTGGTTTGAGCGAGTCACAAACTGTCTGTGCTCTCTTCCTTTGTATGCAATGGGTGCGATAACACCGCTTCTCTCCTGTGATTTGTGACACATCTATGTTCTCGGGAGACGGCCTGTCTTATTTGCTCCTGTATCCAGGGTTTTAAGTGAGAATGATCCCAAAGTACGCCTCAGCGACACCTGAACCCCTGTCTGATTGTGAGTGGCTGTGACAGGAATATCAATTTGGGTGTTTTCACATGTTGCCTTCTTGGTCTCGTGTGTGTGTGTGTGTGTGTGTGTGTGTGTGTGTGTGTGTGTGTGTGTGTTGTGTATAGTCGCATGGGTGCACATAGGCACACATAGGCATGCATATGCATGCATATTTGTATAGAGGTCAGAGGTCAACCTCTATGTCATTCTTCTGGAGGTGTCCACCTATTTTTTTTGAGACATAGTCTCTCATTGACCTGGAGCAAACCATGTAAGTTAGGATGAGTGGCCAACCAAACCCAGAGATCCACCTGTCTCCACATCACCAGCCCTGGGATTACAGGTGCACTGGCTTTGGCAGGGGGTCTGTAGATCAAACTCAGTTTTCTAAGAGCTGCCTCCCCAGCCCCAAACACCTGGCCCTTAAGGGCATCATGAATGTTTTTGGGCTATCTGGGCTGTTGCTGCTGCCACTGCTCCCATTGCTACCCCAACGACCTGCAGACGTCTACAGCAGCCTTAGCCTTCCTTTTCTTATTTGTGTGTAACTATTGATGTCAACATACTATATCTCAAACGCCCATTCTTCACTTTTCTGCCTCGACTGGAACATCCACCCCTAAGCACCAATTCTACTAGCTCTTACTAACCCTCGAACTACTCCCCAAATGGCCTGTTTTTGAGCTCTGATTCTTTTAAATGGCAGTGATGCTCCATGCAACAGTGTGTCAATCCCTTCTTTCTATATCGTGTCACATCCAGGTGGATACTTTATAATGCTTACCATTTTTCTGCTTCATATCTGTAGCCATCCATAAACAATTACATAATAAATCACACGGGGACTTAATTATTTGTGTCTTGTATGGGCATACCTCACAGAGAATAATAAAGAACAGTAATTTGGTGTAAATAACAAAGTGAATGAAACTAAAGCCAGGTGGTGGTGGCGCACGCCTTTAATCCAGCACTCAGGAGGCAGAGGCAGGTGGATCTCTGAGATCAAGGCCAGCCTACTCTACAAAGTGAGTTCCAAGACAGCCAGGGCTACAGAGAGAAACCCTGTCTCAAAAACAAAACAAACAAAATCAAAAAAATGAAAGAAACTAAAGGAGACAGTTTACATTTTATTTTCTAACTTTATTTAAAGTGGATTAATATATTGTCTAGACTCTAGAAAAATGTCCATAACTACAGGAAATATAGATTATCATTGCTAAACACAGGGAGACCTAAAGCATAGTTCAAACAGGAAAACACAATGAAAACCATTATACCCTTTTGTTGACATCACTAACCAAGAGGTCCTGCATCTTTGTCCTTGGAAAGCATTGACTATGACTGCCTTTAAAAAGACAAAAATTGCTTGAACTTCAAAGTATTCCAATCAGGGAATAAAGTGCCCGATTCCAGATGTCGGAGAGGCAGGATGGTGTGAGACAGGGAAAGAAGAAAGCCTTCGCAGTGAGAACAGGCTTAACTTGTAGCATCCCCTGAAGACCATAGGACTTACCAACAGACCGGTACTCACAGCACCTGCCCCGGGGGCCAGCAGTCATCCTAGCAGCAGCACTGCTTCTTGCAGCCACACTTCTGCTGGCAGCAACACTTCTGCTGGCAACAACAGCCCTTCCCACAGCCACAGCCACAGCCACAGCCGCCACAGCCACAGGAGCGGCAGCAGGTGCGGCGGCAGCAGCAGACCACGGGGGTGCAGCAGCCGCAGCAGCCACAGCAGCGACCACAGCCGCAGCCACAACCACCACAGCCACAGCCACCACAGCCACAGCCACAGCCACCACAACCACAGCAGCCACCGCAGCAGCCACCGCAGCAGCCAACCCGGTAGCACCTGCAGGTGGTGCAGCTGTTGCAGCTGTTGCAGCCGCCACAGCCGCCACAACCTCCACAGCCACAGCTGCCACAGCTACCACAGCCACCACAACCCATGGTATCAGTAAAGAGGACTCAGATACAGTGAGCAGAGAGACTCAGGAGAGGAGAGGGAGATGTGATGGCCCTCCTTGGGGTGGAGCCCCTTATGTACCAGCTCCTTGGGATACCACCTGACCATCTAGCTAGTTCTTGTTTATCTAAATTCCCATGAAAGAGCTCACGAGGCCTCTAGCATCCTTCCTTGTTGACATCCTGACCTTGTAGTGAGCTCTAGCTTTTGCTCACCTCTTCTGTCTATATTTAGATCCCAGCATGAGTCTGAGAGCTCTCTACCCACGTGTGTATGTTTGTTTTACTCTAGTACCTTCAATAGTGCCTGGCACATTGCAAGTATTCAGTGCATTTTTTTTTTTAAATTAAATCAATGCTGGGAATACTTCCGAATTTGAAGCTACACTCTCTTCTAGCTATGAATGCTCAATCTAGGGTCAGATAAAAGCTCTGGATTTCCATGTCTATGTCTTAGGCATTGCAGTTCAGACAAGACAGTCTTTACGCTATCTTTGGGAACATGGCCTCTTTGGAAAATGTTCTCAGAGGAATTAGTGGGAAACTGGTATCAAAAAGGACATGGCTCACTGGAATTGTTCACTAGAAAAACCTTTAAGGTTACAGTAAAGTAATTTTGAGATGTCCAATGCTTAAAAAGTACAAGTTTGAGACAGCCTAGCCCTAAGCTACCTGCAAAGGTGAGGCTCCTGTCTTTTGTTTATCTGTTTTATGATTATTTCCAAGATCATGAAACTCTCTCAAAAGGGAATGCTGATTGGAAATGCCCAACTGACTCAGCCTGTCAGGCCTCCATTTCTGGTCCCAAGGACCTGCAGCAGTCATGTGCTGTTATGATCTTGCTCAACTGTCTTCAGACTAAAGGCCATTTGGCTAATTTAGATGCTACCAACAAACCACAGCAGATATCTGAGCATGTGCTATGCACACCATTCAGATGCCTCTATTGAACTTCCATAGCATGCTCTGGGTCACAAATGGATGACCTGGCTTTTCAGCCTCTGTATCTACTCCAGGATGCCCATGTGCCAGAGCTTCCAATCGGTATCACTTTAATAAACCAATGGAAAGCAGGGGAAATAAAGCATTAAAATTCATCCCCCTGGCCGGGTGGTGGCAGCGGCGGCAGCGGCGGCGGCGGCGGCGGCGGCGGCGGCGGCGGCGGCGGCGGCGGCGCATGCCTTTAATCCCAGCACTCGAGAGGCAGAGGCAGGTGGAGCTCTGTGAGTTTGAGGCCAGCCTGGTCTCCAAAGCGAGTTCCAGGAAAGGCGCAAAGCTACACAGAGAAACCCTGTCTCGAAAAACCAAAAAAAAAAAAAAAAATTCATCTCCCTGATATGCTTCTTGTCAAGCAGAGGCTGGGAGGACTGTTCCTACTCAATGTGTTGGTTGCCCAGCACCCTGAGAGTCCAGCCTCATGCATAAGGCACTCATAAATGTCTCCTGTGGCCCAAGTCTTCAGATGCAGAAATCATTTTTTTTTTTGATGCTACACCTGCTTTTCCTCTACATTTTGTGAATCATTTTTCTGCTCTTAAATGTACACCACAGTTTTTTCACTCCCAAGTGAATGCTCAAAGGATTTCCAAGATAGTAGTGCTAAAAATAGCGCTGCTGTGGTGACACACTAACTCAAGAAGGAAGTTAAAGTCTTGTGACATTCTCCACAGAAACTAGGCTAAAAATAAAGGGGGCAGTATAAATAGGGGGTTCCCTTAGAATGGGTCATTCTACCTCCTTCTCCTCTCCTGAGTCTCTCTCCTCACTACTCCCAAGTCTTCTCTACTGACACCATGGGTTGCTGTGGTTGTGGTGGCTGTGGCGGCTGTGGCTGTGGTGGCTGTGGCTGTGG